ATAGATAGATAGATAGATAGATAGATAGATAGATAGATAGATACTTTTCAAGGCAGTGTCCTCATTCTAAGATTCCTCCCACTCTTTCTAAGGACTGGAGAAGGGCCACACTCTGAGATCTGACAACCTCAAGTTATTGTCCAGTGAAATGTATGGTTGTTGCTTGTAATATTTTGTAATGGTAATTGTGCCTTATACAAATAAACTGTTCCTGAGATCTGAGAACCCTACCTTTACAAACAGAGCAGTGTGTGTGTGTTTATGTGTATATATGCACATCTTGGTGTTGCTAGGATCATGCTGATTCAACCCTCTTGTTTCTCAGAGACCCCATTTAGCACTTGATGAATTCACAATTCAGTGTTAATGCTTTTCCAAGTACAATTGCTGGTAGAAGCCCCATTTCAATTGCTTTGAATTCGACACACATCCCTCCCAGGACCTAACTCTTTCTAGGACAATTCTGCCAGAAAGCCTGGAGGATCTAGACTAATTTGAAATCAGCACTTTGCAGGCAAGAGGATCAGTCTCTTGGGCATGTAAAGAATGTTTGAAATCTCTTGTTAAATTTATAGTAAGCATGAAATCTGCTTACTCTAATCCACTGGGAAATTTGCTACTTTTAGTCATGTAAAAGAGTTATCAAATGTCAGAAGCACATCCTTTAATGCATTTATTGTTAAAATTCTAAATAAATGTATAAATGAAATCCAGAAAGGGAGGAGAATTAAGGAGAAAGGGGAAGAGGAAGAGGAAGAGAGCAACATTTGAGGGGGGGAAACATTCACAGGGGGGAGAGAATGGATCTCACCTGGTGGCCTCCAGATATGTTGGACTCTACCTCCCATCATCCCCAGCCAGCATATGTTTGAACTGCAACACATAGAATCATGGATTTGGAAGACACAACAAGGGCCATCCAATTCAAAACCCCTGCCATGCAGGAACTCTCAATGAAAGCATACCCAACAGATGGCCATCCAGCCTCTGTTTAAAAACCTCCAAAGGAGACTCCACCACACTCTGAGGGAGTGTGTTCCATTGTCGAACAGCTCTTGCTATCAAGAAGTTCCTCCTAATGTTGAGATGGAATCTCTTTTCCTATAGTTTGCATCCAATGTTCCGTGTTCAGAAAACAAGCTTGCTCCATCCTCAAGCTTGCTCCATCCTCAATATGATAAACAGGGCTATCATATCACCTCTTAACTGTCTCTTCTTCAAGCTAAACATACCCAACTCCCTAAGTCTTTCTTCATAAGGCATGGTTTCCAGAACCTTCACCATTTGGTTGCCTTCCTCTGGACATGCTCCAATTTGTCAACATCCTTTTTGAATTGTGGTG